CCAAATTTGCTAGAGCATTATGCACCAGCTTCTTTTGCACTTCTTTTGCTTTCTGCCTTGCCTCCAAGGCTGCCAAACGCTTCTGGTTGTCTATGGAATGCTTATCTTCAGCACTCACATCTGCAGAATTACTAATAGAAAGTGAGAAGTCAGTTTTGCTTTCCTGTGTGTCCTTCCTGGAAGACACCTTTGGTGACTTATCCAGAGATGTGAGGATGCTTGAATCAGACCTCTCTTCCTCTGAAGATTTTGTCTTTGTGGTGCTATGGCAACTATCTTTGTCAGAGCCTATCTTGTAAGTCTTTGCACTTAAGGATTTCTTTCCTTTTAATGGCAACAGACTAGAAATAGGAGTCCTACCTCCCTTTTCTGAACTGCTGGAGGATACCACCTTGTGATCTGGGTTCTCAAAAGTGAACTGTTTTTTTTGAGACTGAATATGGTGTAGACCATTTGCCTTCTCTGTATGTTGGCATGGAGTCAGTTGATTTGATGAGCCATTAGCATATGTGGAATCACTTTCAGTGGAAATGCTCATGGGATCCTTGTGTTTAAAGGAATTCCAATCTCCATTTATGACATTCTCTTTCAAGGATTTTTTTGTTGACTCCTTTTCATACAGACAGCCTATTCCCCTGAAAGCCTGAAATTTTGGCTTTAAGATGTTTTCTTCTGTTTTCTGTTTACAATAAGAATTCTCTCCTTCTAAAAGGGAAGCCACAATTTCTTCAGGATGAATACACTGTCGGCCTCTGTGGAGGCTGTCAGGGCTCTTGGAGGCTCTGTCAGACTTGCAGTGAGCTATAGATTTTGGGCTATTACTCTTGGTATCTTCATTTTGAACCTTCAGATCACTGCCAGCCAACTGTTCCAAATCAGCTAACGTGAGATTCACACGGAGACAGTTTTTCATGATGGCATTATATTCCTCATCTTCTTCAGACACAGCTAATTCTGATGCAGAATCAGCATCTTCACTGCTGCTGGAGTCAGGTGGAGATTTAAGACTAAGAGGTTTCACCCCATAGCCGAGTGCTGACTTTACATTTTTTCTTTTTTGATCTTTAATACAACGACCAGAAAGATCAGAGTTTTCTCTGTTTTTAAAAGAAGTTTTCTTGTGTATCGATTTTTCCATTTGTGAAAATTCTATACTGTTTTTGACTTTATCAATGTTTTTTTTCATTGCAATGATTTCATCTGTATCTCCTGAATCATACTCACTGTCATTTCCCACAATATTATTATCAGAAACATTATTTTTGACACTTAAATCTGTTAAAGAATAAAGTTTGTAAACATCTGATTTGAAGTCATCCCTTACAACTTCAAAGGGATCATCTTCAGATTCATTTATAGAGGACCACATAGTCCTCTGTAAATTTTCCTCTTTTGCAATCATTGCTCTTAATTCATCTTCAGAATCAAAATCATCATCAGACATGCTCTTTCTCTTCCTGACAGTTTCTAAGCCAGATGTCTGAAAAAGTACCTTTTTAAGTTTCTGAGTATTAGAACCAGAAACAGGGGGTGATTTAGAAGGAGTAATGGAATCACAAGTTCTCTTTTGTGTAGCTTGTTGCTGTGTTAAGTACGGACTCTCCATTACTGAACTGGACCTTGGATTTGAGGCTAGCAACCCAGTGAGAGCTTTGTCCTTTTGGACTTTTATCATCTTCTTAGACGGGCCATGAAAGTCAGAGAACTCTCCACGCCGTTTTTTACTCATAGGGTCGTTTCCTCCTTCTAATTCCCAAGTGAGGCTGGATATAGGAATGGTATTTGTGAAATCCTCCCCTATCTTCTTAAGGTTGTGGCAATATTTTGATGGATCATATTTTACAATTTTACGTTTATGTTGATTCTTAAGGTGAAGAACAGGTAAGACTCTTCCAAATTTACTCACAACCCAATTCTTGTGCCCTGGCACTTCTGTTCCTGGCACAGCTTTCATATGGAAATTTGCCCCTCCCATTTTTTCTAACAAGTTGGTGCTGCTTGTTAATTTTTCTTTTTTTGCTTTTGCTTCTTCTCTTTCTTGGGCCAATCTGTGCAAAAAGCTTTCTTTTGCTAGCTGAATTTGCAGTGTTCCACCTTTCCATTTTGTTTTATTTAAAACAGACATACATTTTTTCAGGTCTGCTTCTGCTACTTTGATGTTGATATATGCAAAAATTTTCTGTGGGTTTCCTTGGTCATCTTTCCGTGTGATGATCTCCACATCAGAAACTTCTCCAAATCTGCTGAACTGATTTTGTAGGTCTGTCTCTGAAACCGTCTCACTAAGGCCACCCACAAAAAGGCGCTTTGGTTCTCTATTGGCTTTCATGAAGGTTGGGCATATACTTGATGTATTTTAGTGGGAAAAGCAACTTTCACACTCAATTTCCGAGGACTCTTCATTGCGTTTTCCGTTCTTCGGCCCACTGTGATTCTCTGCTACCTTCCCCTCAACTACAGTCAAAGAGTTCGACCCCAAATCCCCTAGTTTTTATTGAAGCGGCTTATCGCCTTGCGGTCGCCGATTCCAGGACTCGAAGCTATTTGGTTTAATTAAGTTCCATTTGTTTTTGTTGTTGTTGCAATTGCCACTGAAGTCTTCTTCATAAAATCTTTCACTAGGCTGATATCTTCAAGTGTTTTTCCCACAATTTCTTCAAGGATTTTTATTGTTTTATGTCTTACTTTAGATCTTTTATCCATCCTGAATCAATTTTAGTGAATGGAGAAAGGTGCGAGTCTAGTTTTAGTCTTTTACGTGTGGTTATCCAGTTACTAAGCATCATTTCTTAGCTTCTGATTTAAAGTGAGAGATGTGTGACTCTTCCTGTCACTTAAATGCTTAGAGACCCTTGTGGAGCTATTAATTGGCCTAATTTCAACTTTGTTGTGTTTTAGGGAATAGGAAAGCCTGAGGACTGGGAGAGAGACTGGGAAGTGGCTGGTCAATGGAGCAATCAGAACACATGAAGCTTAAATTTGCCATCTTTTATGGGTGCAGTTCTTGGCACCCCAACAATTACAATTGTGACTGCAAAGATCCCTCATCACATATCACCATTATAGATATAATAATAATGAGAAAGTCTGAAACATTGCAACAATTAACAAAATGTGACAGAGACACTAAATGACCAACTGCTATTGAAAATTTGGTGCTGGCTCGGCGCCTGTGGCTCAAGTGGCTAAGGTGCCAGCCACATACACCTAAGGTGGTGGGTTCGAATCCA